GCAGCAATGCAAATTATTTGGCATTTTCTGAATAAAGTTCCTAGGTAATAAGAGTGATACTTGGAGAACAAAGTCTTTTGTGCAGTAACAGCAGCAATGCAAATTATTTGGCATTCTCTGAATAAAATTCCTAGGTAATATATCTTTAGTTTTACCTTGTCCTGGATGCAGCCTTTTAGATTTCTGACTATTTCCTCCAACTGTGTCTCTCTGAGTTGTAACAATCTTACGGTTTGGATAAATTCCAGCACTAAAAATATATACTCTGTGTTGTCCTTCAGGAGATGCGAAATGTCCCTGGTGTCATCACTGATTGATAACTCCTGAAAGATAAAATGGTCGTGTGAAACAGAACATGAAATTTGTGAGCCTTCTTTGGTTATCTTACTTTCCCTGCAGTACAGTGAGAGCAGATTTAAGTGTCAGAGTTTTTGCAAACGCCATAAAGGAAGCCAGGTAGCTGTATTTTACAATCCTGTGCACCCTTTATAAAAAAAATAAGATTCTCAAAGGAGTTCTAAGTAAATCTATGTTAAAACGTGGATCTGAAGTATCTGATGTTTAGTAGCTATGTCCAAGGCTTTTCCAGTTCTTTTTGGCATAAAAAGTATAATATACTGCAGTCTGGAGTTAGCTGTCCCTTCTCTATAAATAGACGCAATTCCTGAGAAGTTTGTAAACTTTAAAGTGTAGTGACAACATACTGGAGGAGTTCCAGATTCTAAACCCAAACTATCAAGAGAATTTTACTTCCACAACAAGCTGTTCCAGGCCTGTTCCCTCCTTTTGGGACCGCAAGGCAATTTTCTTGAGCTTGTAACAATCTTGTAGCATAATGACTGTTTGCCGCAGGTGTCTCTGAGATAGGATGAAATACGCCACAAGATTCCCCAACTTCTCTCCTTCTGTCTTCTGGATCACTTGCATTTCTTTGGCTTGCATCTGGAAAGAAAGCATTACAAAGTCTTACAGATTACTTGCAGACTTGTGTCTGAAGCGTGGAAATGTTCCAGTTCTCACTGCAGGTGTGAAAATAGGAATCCAGAGGGAAAAAAATGAAGTGCCCTGAAGAACAATGAAATCTATCAATTTAAAATGGGACTTCAAAAAGTTTCCTTTGATGGTATGAGTCAAATAGTTGTGAACCACACAAAACATCGCTGAACATAAAATAACATGGACAGAGATCTTACTTAAGTCTCATCCCTCTGTATAGCTGTTGGCAAATGACAATACAATGCTTTAGCTGCTGTACCTTTTCTTCTGTTTGTGCTTGAAGTTCCAGTCTGAATTGTGCCTGCATGTTCCTCAGTTCAGCTTCTGACTCTTCCTTTAAACCTTTAAGCAAATCCCCTTCCTGATGATGCTTCTGGAGAAAAGCCACTGCTCTCGCTACTTGCTGTTTCTCTGTAGTCTGAGCAACCTCTCGGGCTACTTCTTCACCATTATTTTTGTAGTCAAAACTGTTCAGGATCCTCCTCACACCTTCTGGGCAAGTCAGAATCTGGAGCAGGTAAGCACAGTTATAAGAGCAAATAAGTTGTGTTTTATAGACATGAGCTTGTTTCCAGCATTGGGTTTGTAGTGGGTGTAGTTGGCAGGGTTTTTGACAGCAGGGTTTTGCCGTGTGCCTGCACATATGTGCTCCAGCCTGTGCACCCTGCACATCCAGTAGGTTGTCAGGCAGGATGGACATCTGGGCACTCACAGGCTTTGTGAATTACGTTTGAGAGGCTCATGCAGGGAGGGGTGAAACATGAAAATCATGAAATGCCTCTACCTGAAGGTTGCTGTAGACATCCAGGACTCTGTACAGACATGTTTGCCTCAGAGCTTCCAGCTTTACTATCTTTGCTGCTGAAACTAGCAGTATTTGAGTTAGAGAGTCTGGTGAATTCTTGACTTCCCAGGAATGTAGTTTCTGTCAAGTAAAAGAGAATAAAGGGCAGGGATTTTCTACACAAAGTAGCACTGTGGTCACCAGGATTAGTGAAATCCAATTTCCTACAGGATTGTGATGGGAAGTGTGAGTCAGTTTGGACTAGTCTTTTCTCTAAGGTTCTTAGAGGCTCCAGTGGAAGCTTTTCCTACTTATAAAGGCATGGAGTCACTGCAGATTTCCTCATAGGGGTTTTTTAAGTCTGCTTGTCTCCTCTGCCTGCCTGTTCATTTGCATCGAATTTGTAAGTGCTTTAGTTTCCAAGTCCTCTATTCCCCTGCAAAGTTAAGTGAAATCAGGAAATGGATTAAAAAGTTTGGCATTAGCTTAATAAGAGATAAGCAGACATCTGCTCCCAGAACAGATTTATAGACTGTAGAACGGCTCTCTGCATTATTAAAAGCTGCCTGTATAAACAAGGTTATCTCAAAGGTGGAATTTACCCACAACAGTGATAAATAGTGGTAAAACAGTGAGTAAATAGTAATAGTACTTTCTTTAAGTTGCCAAAACATCTTTTAAGCTTTCTCTAATGATGTTTTCCTGTTCAGACAGTAGCAGGGGAGGTCTGTGGATATATGGAATGGTAAAACCTAAAAGGCCACACCACAGGTGGGCTCTCAGATTGCATTAATGGCAGCAGGCCCTTCTAGAAAGTGAGGAAGTCTAATAAGGTGCTAACATATTTTGAGGAAGTGTTATTAGAAGAGGGAGCTTTTCTACTTTCTCTTCAAAGCTTTTCAGTGCCTCTTTGATTGTCTCATAGGGTTACTCTCCTAGCAAAACCCACGACACACGAGAGGAAAACTATCATATAATAGTTGTAGATTCATCCTATGTCATAAAATCCCAAGATACTGGAGGATAGCATGAGGCCCATTAAAGCACTGAAATATGAAAGACAGGTTGTGAAATGAAAGGAAAATAGACGTTTAAACATGTGAGCAAAAGAAATAAACATGTTAACTAAAAAAACCCCAACAAACAACTTCATCCTGGTAATATTTTTTCTTGTGTAATAATAGTTTAAAACTAGACTTGTTTTTCTTTGATAAAGAAAGTGCTGTGCCACCTGTACTGAGGCAGTAAAATGTATTTAGTCCAGTATAGGGAGATCTGGAGCATTTAAGTTATGCCTGTAGCTGCTCTAATAGTACAGCCACTCATATAATGCCTAAAGTTAGTATGTGTGTTTGTATCACCCCTTGAAGATTACATTCATTCTTGCAAAGCAGTGAGGTGACAACAGCAGGACTAGAATAAAGAAAAATAAGCAAATGCTTTAAACTCACTTGCTGCTCAGTGAAGTTAGAATCCGGGATTTGTAAACCAAGAAGACAAAATGAGAACTGATGCGGAATTTCTTCCAGGAAATGTAGGGTCTGTTTGGGCAATATTAAGTTTGGGCTGAGACCTGAATGCTTGATTTCTTCCACGTGTTTCTGACGGAGGCTTTGCTCAGTGTGGTGGTGGTGTTCTGCCAGTTCTTTCAGAAGCGAGTCCTTTGTGGTGATTGCTTCTGTTCCTTTACTGGTCTTCACCCCCTGAAATTATAGACATAGCACCTGAAACATCTTCATGATCAGGAGCAGCAAAGAAATGAGAATTGAGTCATACTGAATCTGAGAGCTAAAAATCATAGCCAAAAATGAGACATCAATGACTGTTTAAGTAACCTAAGTAGCCTGATTTACTGTGGAATTAAGTACCCAAGTGTTATTGAAAATAAGGCCACTGTTTCTTTTGTCTTCACATTGAGAAAAAAAAACTAGTTTAGTTTCTATTTTGCCTTGCAGTGGTTATAACAGAAGATTTCTTCTTTAATAAATCCCTTTTTGCATCAATTTCCTTTTTGAAAGTCGTGGGAAAATTGAAAGGAATTCAAAAAGGTAATGGAAAAACCTTCTTTTCCTGTATATCAGCTGAGAACTCTAACGCAATGCCAACCTTACCCAACTTCCTTTATGGTGTTCCTTTTCCTCAGCCTTGGATAATTCATAAAAGGCAAAGATAGTGTTTATTTCTTCTGTCAATAAGGATAGTTCCATATGTGCCAGTTCACAAGCATGCTTCTCAAGGAAAAACCTACAACAAGATATGCATGAGACAGGACTGAAGAGACATCACTTATTTTAAATACTTATTACTATGAGTAACTTCTAAGATTCATATGTACATTGCATGGAGAACAAGCAGTAGACTGTAACAGGTATCTTCTGTTGAGCCACACACAAAATCCAAATATAAGCCTGCTAGGGATGAAAGCTTTCAAACTTGCAAAGAATATATATATATATATATTGAAACTGAAAGTGCAGAAGCAGTTAAATAAGGATTTCTTACGTCGTCCAGATTTCTTGCTGTATGTGGCTGGTCCTTTCTGGAAGTGAAGTGGGCAGAACAGGTGAGGCTATGGAAACTGAAGCAGTTTCCTGACTTGTTTCAGCCCTTAATGCCTCTGAATGAGCACCAGATGCTTTTAAAGTGGTTGATGAGTAGCCTGCAGAAGAAACACAACAGAATATATTTACTGCTGAATCATTATTTGGGTACAGTCAAACCCTATTACACACTTAGGATTTTTTTTCCCTTAAGTGTACAGTATTCAACAGTTAAAGTAGCAGTGCTCTTGGGCTAGAAGGAAAAGCAGTTGCACAGCTTGTATTCTTCATTTCTATTTGCTCATATATGGCAGGCAGACTTGTACAATGTAATTTCCAATTTTAATATTCTCAGCAGGGGAAGTAAAAGCTTTGCTATTTATTGTTAGGTTTGTACTGCATTTTCTCTTGTCAAACTGAGGTTAGATTTTCCATTCTGCAGGAGCTGCAGAACTAAAACCATAGAGGTAGTTCAGGTGTATAAAAATAATACAAGCAGCCTACCTGATGTCTCAGGTGATATACTCCTTTTGCTATTTTCCTCCAGCATCCGAACAGTAGACTTGAGTAGTGGGATCAGGTTTTGTTGGATGACCTCATGTGTACTGTGTGAGATCCCACAAATGCCATAAAATCTGGCTGTCTGATAGTTTTCAAAACACTGTTGTGATCCAGAGAAAAGCACCTGAAACAGCATAAAGCAGACAAACCCCATTTCCTGCCTGTCGAAGGTATAATTGAAAAAAAAATCCTGGCATTCTTTCTGTTCTTATGAAAACCTTCTATTTTCAGTTCCTAGCCAGGCATATGTGAATTGTGCAGTGACTCAAGAAGATGCTACAGCACTTTGCCTCAGCAGGCTAAAAGCCTTTTGCAATGGTTATGGTCCCATAGCTCCCAACTCCCAGATTTTAGCATGTCCTTCAAGCTGGTGCTTCTTCCCTAGGAAGTGCAGAACTTCAGGTGTCCAGCTGTTTAAAATCTGTCAGCAAATAGTGAAACTGACAACTTGGCAATTGGACTAGGTGATCGTTGTAGGTCCCTTCCAAATGAATTTTGCTGTTATTCTGCTCTAACTTTTTTTCTAACTTTGCTGTTGAAAATCTGCCTTTAGAAGTGAAATTTCATTGAATTTCCAAGTGTCAAATTCTTTGAAGTTCACTTTATAAATCACATTTTGGAATTCTCATTTAAGTTTTTTGTTATTTTACAAGGCTCTGATTTCTTGCAGCAGCGTTCTTGGATGGATATTCACAGAACATGGCAACTGCTCATGCTTTTGTTAGAAAGTAAGTAACATGATTGGTTTTTATTTGCCTCAAGGTGAAATCAGTACCTTTGTCTGCTGCATTTGGATATTTGACCAGTCCCTCAAGTATTCCAGTTTGGTGTATGCAGTCTCCACACTAGCTTGTTGTTTCAGTATATGTTGCTGAGATTCAGAGGCTAGAGCAAGTATGGCCTGGAAAAAATGGCACAAAATATAAGCCTGCTTCAGGTAAATTGCAAATTCTGGCTTTCATTTTCTTTCTTATAATATGGCAAATCTCTAGCTACAAAGCTGGTGTATCTGTAACAACTCTAGAGCACTAGTCTGGATAGCCCTTAAAGATTTTAGTTGTGATTTTATATGGTAGGTTGCATTTATTCTCTGTCAGTGACTGCTCGGCTCCTAACAGTGCCTCTCAAAGGTAGAGCAGAGTGTTCTGTGGATTCAGACTGGGGATCTTCAGCCCAGCCTAGCAGTGACCTCACCTTTCTGAGCTTCAGGTTTGTTACTGCTTCAGTACTTGAGATGTGGCTCCTTTGCTTTTCTCTCTCTATCAGCTGCATGTACATTCGTTCTTCTTCTAGTTGCATCTTTTCAGCAAACTCCATCAGCTTTTCGAGTGCCTTTCTGATCTCCAGGAGAACCTGTATTTCCTGTTCTTTTTCATCTCTGTCAGCTACAAACAGCAAATATTAGCAGTAGCCCCCATCTGATGATCTGGAAATTCACAGCTCAAATCTGAATTTGCCTTCTCAATGTGCTTCACTGCACCTACATTCTTTATCTTTTAGAAAATCACAATTTTCAGCTACTGACTCTGTGTTGTCTTCCTTCAGGAGGACATAAGTAGTTTGTAAGGCTTAAGCTAACCTGTTAGAAGGAGCAAACATCACAGAAAACTATGTACAACCCTGTCTCCCTCTCTTCTGGTTGCAGTTACCCTTTTGTACCTTTGAATAGCAAGGACAGTTCAGTAGCCAGATGGCTACTAAAGTATTTTGAAGTTCGTCTCTCAACTTCCTGCAGGGAAGACTCTTCGAGAAAATGGCATATTTCCTCAATGCCTTTCACTTTTTCCTTGTATTTTACCTGCAAGAAATGGAAGAGGAGTGGGAATTTTAGATAATGTTGCAAGCCTGTGAGATAATGACCTGATGTGATACTCTTTCCTCTGACAGATGAGAGCAAAGGGTTGTTGAATTTGGCTATTGCTTTTTCCTAGCCTTTTAATTATCCTGACTGTGTAGAAACTGACTTCATATCCCCTTGTTTCTGATATAAACCACTATGAATTGTGTTGTCTTTGTGTAGCTGGAAATGGTTGCGCTGAAGTAGCAACATCTCCGTTTACAGTTTTGGTTTGCATCGTACGGGAGGGCAGAGTGACTGGGATTCAGAGTACCACCACCCTGGGTACAGCATCACTGATATTTGATTTGATATGTACGAACAAGACTGACTTAACAAAGTTTTAAAGAACTTTCCTGAAGCCATCTGCAAAATAAATGCACCATACCTTCTGTGCTTTCCCCTCTTTTGCAGCATCAAGGACATGAAAAAACAGTGAGTTAAGCTTCTTAAGAAGCCCTTCTTCCTTTTTTCTTCTGCAATGCCAGTATATATGCCTTGAATTTATTTCCTTTTCTAGAAAGTCCAGCTGTAAAGCAGAGACAGACATAACCGTTCAGATTTGCAGGAAGCTGATAGATTATAAACTTCATTAAAGCTAGTGATGTAATCTGTATTCAATGCTTTTGGCAGCATATATCCAACTTTGTTGCCACAGAGGACGAATGCTTTGCAGTGCTAACTCTCTGTGTGTTATTTTGGGGTAGGGTAAGGTTATGAACTAGAGATTACAAGTATCAGCAGAAGAAGACACAGATAGGGCAAGAAAAAGTCGATAATGAAAAGAAGAGATGTAAGTAAAATGGCATACATGTATTTCAGTTCATCTTGCAGTATAAGAGAATACTACTTATGGGGCATAGAAAGAGCTAAAATTTCCTCTCTGTAGTGGAAAAGTATCAGCAAGAAATTTAGCACAGATCTCAAACCTGTAAATAAAGATAGTTTGCTGGAGCTATAATTACCAGATCTGGATCTGTAGCTCTTCTTGGTAAAGCTCCAAGAGACTGAACAGTAGGAATTACATTGTGTGTCCAGGGGTTGGTTTGGGCACCTATAACAGGCCCAGTTTCACCTGTAACTGGACTGATGGTTCTGGCACCAATAGTGATAGGGACAAGGCCTGTGAATAAAGAAAGACTAAGTATAATACTTCGAATTTAGATCATGAATTCTAGCTGCAGCCCTAGCTGGCAGCTTTTAAGTTCAAAAGGAACTGAGAATGATTTCAAATCACCCAATGAAAAACAAACTGAATTTTCCTGTGCTGAAAATGCTATGTTCCAGGTGCTGGACCACTGCACACCTTCATCTTCAGATAGCATCAGTGTATGGCCCCGTCACTGAGAATAACATCAGAATAATTATCTGAAAGAGTACAATAGATTTTTGAAGGTCTGAAAGCCACCGTGCGATTTGGTCTCAGTCCGAGCTCTCCTTTACTGTTACTCTGGTGTTGACTGTTCTGAACATGTACACCATGAAAATTGGTATTTTCCATTCAGTATTGAGGTAGAAACTCATCTATTTTGGTAGGGTGTTTTCCTCACCCTGAAAACAACGAAACAACGTGTTCTTGTCTCTCTATTGTTTACATCATTCAAATCAGTTTCATACTCTACCTTTTCCATTTCTATCTTCCATGGTTCCTGCAAGTGGAAAAGGCTGCCTAGTGTTCCAGTCACAGTCTATTCCCAGAATTGGCACCATCAAACCAGATCCACCAGGATCTGGGATTTTCATTCCAAACACTGCAGGGATCCACATCTCTGTGCTATGATATTTGATCATACCTAGTTTGTTAAAAAAAAGATGAGAAACCTAAACTGTTAAATAGTCTTGTGATTAAAACAACTGTTTTCAAAGGCTTACAGTGCTGGTATCTTGGACAAATCCTGTGATGTAAATGGGTGCATTGCTGTAGCCTTCAGTGTAATGACACCTCTACTTAAAACAGGCTGCTTGTTTTATACCTACCCAGTTTACCACCGTTACTCTTGAGACTTGAAGCTATTTGCTGTTTTTTCTCCAGGCTTCGCAAGCAATGTATTGCATAATAAAACTTATTAGTGAAAGACTTCTTCATATCTTCTACTGAAGCCTTTAGTGCTGCTAATCTGTCTGCTACCAGACAGGTATCTTCCAAAACTGATGCCTTAAACTGTTCAATGGCATTCACCACATGGGTTTGTGATACCAGCCAGTCAGTTTCCAGCACTGCTTGGTAACTTCCACTGTGGGGCCGCACCTCGTCTTGCCGGAGGTGAGCTCCGTGTACCCGGGTGATTTTCCCACTCAGAGGTTCGGTGAAGGAGTCTCCAAGCAGCATTATGTTTCCAGAAGGACTCACCAGCCCACCTAGAGGTATAACTTCTCCTGCAGTCAAAGAACAGGAAATAAAAGTCAGAACATTACCTGGCAACTTGTCATTACAGTCTGCTCCTTCCCATTCAGAAAGAGGCACAATGATAATTGACTTCAATTGAAGTTAAAATAGGTCTTATGAACACTGCATACCTCACTCACTGACTTGTGAAGGGCATTCACCTACCAGTGTTACTATCCAAACCAACTCCGAGTATTGGAACAATCTTGCCTCCATTTGGCTCAGCCATAGGACCCCCAATCTCCAGAGGTGTCAACATGCCAGTAAGGGGGTTAAGGTACGTCCCACCAACAGCCAGCTTTTGCCCAGTGTGAGGATGAATCGTAACCCCAAGCACTGGAACTTCTATTTCCGTCACTGGATCTAGCATCAGTCCTCCCATAGCAAACAGATTTTCAGAACACAGGACTGGAAGCTTTGTCTTCACAGGTAGGCCAGTGCTGGGACAAACCGGGTAAGGAATGTAAGGGAATATGGGCACTTCAGGCTTCTGACGCTTACCTGTGTGTAGAACCAGAAGAAATTTAACATGCTTGTGCAAAGTGATGCTAATGACAAGGAAGCTCTAGAGCTCAGAATGGAGACTGTGGAGCTTTCAGAGGGTGCTCATAGTAAAGGTCTGTTGTCTTTAGGTCCAGAATAAAATTAATGAATTTCTAACAATTGAATGGGTTTCTTAAATTTAATTTGTAATTTGGCTACTCCTTTAAAGTTACAAGTTTCTCAGCTTATAATGGTTTGTACAGTTTAATGAACAGAGGGACTAAAAAGTGTCAGAAACAATGAATACCTATCATTTCCTTTTATACAAACCATCTAATATGTCTTATCCACAGTAAGTCTTATATACTAGCTGAACAATGCTTCTAATGCCATGCTAATTAGAAGCTTTTGCAGATTTTCTTTAGGTTTTGTTATGGGAAAAATATATGCAAGTATAGCACATTGTGGTTTTCTGTTTGTTTGCTGTTTGTTTTTTGTTTTATTTTAACCAGTGCCCCACTAAAACTGCACAAACAGGCAGTTTGAATAATTATTATTGCTTTGTGTCACTTACCTGAAGCAGAATCAACAACACAGACCAGCCTGGATATGATGGGATCATAACCAATGTTGCCAGATACATAAAGTACCTTTCCAGTCTCAGGATGCAGAAAACAATCACTAGGCACTGGCCCAGGGCTCTGACCAGTCAGCAACATGGTGCAGTGTGGGTAGGGATTTAACAGTCCAGTGATGGGATCCATGCAAATAACATCAGGTGCTCCAGTAGTGCCATTTGAGCCTAAAAGCAGTTTACAATAGAAGAGCAGGGTGGCAGATGTGTGAATAAACTGATCTTTCTACTGCCTTTTACAGAAGATTTTACATGCAGTAATATTAGAAAGCAGACAAACACATTGGATTACTCTGATGCTGATTGAACTTATTGAGACTTGCCTACAGAATAGTTAATTTCTCTCTCTGTTGCCAAGAGATAATTAACAAGCACCCAGCAAAGATTTTGATAAATGCACAGTCTTCCTAAGAAACAATGTAGAAGAGTTCTGCTGATGAATTTGGTTTCGTAACAACCCCTTAATGCACAAGTCACCAGTGGATGAGGACTTGGTTTTCTGAATACAATCTCTTTTGACTTTGCTATTAGCTCTTTTGAGATCTAGCTATTTTTCATGACGTGTATTTTGTCACCTGTGCTACACCAGTCCACCTACAATTCCTTACACATTCACATCATTTTCAAACAAATTTATTGAGGTTGTAGTTACCCACTAGCTCCTGCTTGGTAAGTACCCTGGTTTTAGATTTGTTAAGAAGGTGAGCTCCCATTCCTTCACCCAGCACTCCCCATGCTTTGAGGCGATGACTCTCCTTTGTTATTATGCTTGACATCTTGCTGCTTGCAACCTCTATCTGGGCTAATAGGCTAAAATACAAGATATAAAGATGGTTACTTTGCCATTTGAAGATAACGTAAAACAATTTAAAGGGAGCAGTAAAGGAGGAATTTTGATGGATGTGCAAATAATATCTGCACTTTGACAGAGAGCTTGATGAGCATTTGCTTTGGCTAATGCAATAAAAAAGACCACTTTCCTGTTTCTCTCTTTTCATGTTAATGACACCATTCTGATTCTGCTAGTGATAGGACCTGTCAGAACATGGGTGGCATATTGCCTAGAACTGGTGTGATATCCCAGAGCCAAATTAGTTGGTAGCACAAGAAATGCCTTCCAAAATGCTGTTGTCCCAAGAATAAGATGGGAATCTCTTCTGTTTATATCTCTGAGATTTTCTAGGCTTGCTTTACACAAACATGAGAATTATAATGTGATCTTTTGGATCAAGAATCCATTTTCAGCTTCCAGATGTATGTAACTGCCAACCACAAGCCAACCCAATTGCTTGCCACAAATGCTTTCTAGCTAGCAAAAATAAAGCTGCAGTAGAATTTTGTATCATGTTTGCTACCTTGAATAGTTTGGCTGAGACCGTGTTGTTTGGTTTCCTTTACAAGCCACCTTATTTGTCAGCATCTCTGCCAATCTCACCACCTCTCGCAAGGCAGAATTGAACATGATGCAGTGCTCTTCCTGACATTTCAGATCATGCTGTAATAAGTGTATCTGTTGGTTTACATTTTCCTCATATTCAGCAGCCAACTGTTTCCTTTGCTGCATCTCTTCTTCTGCCTAGGTGGAAGATAAGATACGGGTATCTATTTTTTGCTTGTTTACATTTGGATAAAACTTTTCTGCCCTTTAATACAGTGGCAAAGATTAGAAATTTAACATAATTTTTGTTTCACACTTAGAACTTTTGTAACAATCTGAACAATTTCAGTTCCAATGTTGAAAAAGAAGTTGCAACGCACACTCAACCAGAATTTATGCTGTTTTCAAAGCTGAAACCTCTGCTACCAAAGCGGAGAGACAAGAACTCTCAGGAGAAGAGATGGGATGTGCAGATGTATCAGACAGATCGAACAAAAAAAAGAGAGTAATCTCTCAGAGATTCATCTTTGTGTTAGGGCAAAGCAGGAGCAGCAACACCTTTAAATGTTTTAAAGGCCCAGAAGAGCCTGTGTTTCACAGACATTGCAATGTTGTTTTGCAGCCTATGAAACATTAAATGTCTACAATTCCAAAAGTGAAGTTTTACACGGCCATGCCTAAAATTATAGGAGTACTGAGAATTTCATTTCTTATTCCGTGTGTGTCGCTGAGCTGAGCTCTACCTGCTGTTTTGCTTTTAAGTAGGCTTCTGTCATTGTGCTCTCATAAACCTCCATTTCTTCTGGGGTACTCAGTGTCTTTATCCAAAGGTTTTTCAGTGAAGATATTTCACTTGTGAGCTTGCGATAGATAGTTTTTACCTTAGGTGGAAAAAGAAAAAAGATTGCATTAGGACTGTAAGAGATGATTTAGAGATGGTAAAGTCTCTCTTCAAAATAGATACCTCTGTGTAATTAGAATACATGCTGCTGCCTGAATTTTCAGTACAAAACACTTTAGTGCTAGTTTGTCTCAGATTAGGGTATGATGATTTTGCCAGAGTACTCAACCGCTCACTGCATGCTGTAATTCCAGCTCCCTCTACTGTCCTTTGAACTACAAATGGTATCAGTTTGGTGCAGAGCCATAAGGCAACCAAAATGATCTGCCTTAAGGTCACTACTTTTTGTACTATGTCACATGGGATGAACAACATAAGAATATAGGTACATATTTGTGTTTCATGTTCTAAAAAGATGAAAGTTGAAACAAAGCATGTTCCTAATAGCCAAAGTTTAATGAAACAATGGTAACGAAGTTACCAGTTTTAGGCTCTCTCTACATAAAAATAAGTAGCCCCAGAACACAATTTACCTCTTCTTTGAAATGGCCCAGTTTGGTTGTGACAGATAGTGATTGTCTCAGCAAAAGTTCAAAGAAAACATTGGTATTAAATGACTCAAGGTCTATCTGTTCTTCAGACTCCCAAACATCAACTTTCTTCAGGAAGGCAGCTGAAACATGGATATTCATTAATTAGCATTTTTTTTATTTAACACTCTTTTGAACAAAGAATCATAGAGTTGTAGAAGAGTTAGGGTTGGAAGGGACCTTAAGATCACCTAGTTCCAACCCCCCTGCCATGTTGCCTAGGCTCTGTCCAATCTGGCCTTGAACACTGCCAAGGATGGAGCATTTACCACTTATTTGGGCATGTAAAACAATTTAACAGCCATTGTACACTGATAAACATGGGATTCTGGCTCTGTTATATGCAAATAGCCATGTAGACACACCATTGTTTAGCCTTTTTGCTATCTGACCTGTTCCATCAGTGCCGTGAGAGTCATCATCCATACTACTTTTGTTCTGCAGCAAGGGGTGACATTTTTTAATGGAAAAGACTGTTGGTACATTGGAGGAATAGCTGTCCAGATTATACTTCAGCTGCTGCCTTCGATATGGAGGGCAGGTAGTGCCTTTCTGTGACCAGCTAAGTCCCTGACAAAGCAGCTGCAAAACAAAATAAAACCAGGAAGTTCCTTTTCTTATTTTGACACGTTCTGTTAATGTGATTCACATGTTATTCACTTAACAAGCAAGATGCATCATCACCTGTAAGGCGAGGACCCTGATGAGAGTTTGTTTTCTAAGTACATCTTTAAAGTCATCTGTTCTAAATCAGAACCATTACTAATCCCAGCAGATAAGGCTGAAACCAAGGGGAAGGAAGTGTAGTTATCAGTTGTTTGGATCTGCTGGATGAATAAATCACATTTTCTGCCATTACCTCACTGGTCTGGTTGCAGAAAAAGCCTGTTCATTTCAGAACATACTGGAAACATAAAAGGATGGCTGTCTGGGGACTTAACAGTCTGAAGGACCAGCTTGGTTTTGAATTGTGAAACAGAACATCTGATTTCAGGTATATTGGGATGAGTGGGACTTTTTTCTGAATAAGAAGTGCAAAACTGAATGTCACATGAATGATGACTGGAAGAACTTATTCATGACTGACAGTTGTTTATAATGGCATTCCAGGACTTAGCTACATCCTTTCATTTTGAGGCATGCTTGGTCATACATTAAAGAAAATATAATTAGCATCTTATTGATCTCCTTACTTCTTAAAAAGATGTGGGTTATGAGTTCCCAAAGAGTTGTGAGGAATTTTATTATGGTTTGATCTAATGAGGCAGAAAACAGGAGTGAAATTCACCTGTATCTTGAGTGTCTCTATGTGACCTGTGTAGCAGGTAAATATAGTGGGGCTTTGGTGGTGTTGCATAGATTCACAGGAATGAATTTTACCTCCTATATAAAACCTGTGGTTGAATTACAGTCTATCCTAATTTTCAGCCCTGTAGATGATGCCTAAGGGAACAGATAGCTTGCAGATTAGTTGTGCAGAATTTCACCAAGGAATCCTGTCTTTGCATTTACAATTTCCCTCTTAGCAAAGAATTTCATATTCCATACAGATATTTGGAATTTTGTGTAACTACTACTTACTGTCAATACCACAGAGGCAATAAGCAGTGCAAGAAGTCCTGTGATCACTGCAGCAATTGCTGTCCAGTCAGGTTTCAGTAGGAGGTCTTGGTTTTTTGTAATGCCCACCTGTACAGCATATCTGGGTGTTGTAGGGAAGAATGGCCCCTCTTCGTAACACTGTCCTCCAAGTGGCATGACCCTAATGTTCTTAATAAAATAAGCATAAGAAAGCTGGTCACATGTCACTGCATCTCATTTAAATATGCATGATGATTTAAACGTTAAATGGTACTTTGCCTGTTACACTGAATCAAAGCTTAGCAGCAGTTGCACCATTTTGCACTCATATATGCAGCACATATGCATATATGTAGCACACATGTAAACTCACCTGTACTGTATGATGTACAAAAACTAAAAGATGCTCACTATTATTTTTTAAACTTCCAATGTTTCCAAACATTTGTATGGAATATATAAAATTCTTTGCTAAGAGGGACATTGTAAATGCAAAGACAGGACTCCGTGATACAGACCATTTTTTTGTGCCGATTGCTACTCAGTCGTAGCACATAGGTACCGGGGTGCTGGAACTGGAAAAGGAAGAAGAGGAATTGGTGGGCTTCTCTAACTTCCTCTCTGAGGCTTCGAAGGTCTCCCCAGTCGAATTCAGCATTCGTGTTGTACAGGTTGTTTCTAAGAGCAGAAGTAAAAAAGTCAGTTCTTGTCTCTACCCGCCTTTTTTGGGGTAGGCTCATAATTACAGCAGAGATTTACAAAGGTATTGGTGCCATTTAAGGTTCATCCATACCAGCAGAAAACTGAGGATCAGTGTGAGTTTGGGCAGTGGACTTACAATTGTCCACACAGCTCTACTCTTTACTCATCCCCTGCTTTGTTTTGGGTTGCTCCAACTGATTCTCCCCCCCAAAAATGTGTGGTAGAATAAGTTAGCCCTACGCGTCATGGATATTTATTTAGCAGTGAAGAGATAGTTACTGGGACCCCTTATATGTGTTTAATCACTGCAATGTCAACATGGAGAACAGGGAAACAACACGTAGGTTTTGTTATTGATTACATGTCCCTGGTGTTATTTGTATACTTTGAAACTGGACGAATGACAGAAAGCAAATCAAAATAACCTATAGGGGAAGAAACCCACAAAACCACCCAACCAACCAAAAGCCACAAAGGAACAATGAAGCTTTCCTTGCAGTAGGATTTACTGGTTTCCGTTTGGGTTAGTTTACCAAAACCTAAACCATAGCTCCAAACAGATCCCAAAACTCAATAACTACAAGAAAGGGAAGAGAATTTAAGGTTGACTACAGGGGTTATACAGCATAAGTCAGTGAAAAGTCAAGTTGTAAGGAGAGTGAATAGATGTCAGAAATAGCATCAGCAAGACAAAAGGAATAGCATGTATGTATTTAATAAATGAAAGTTGTTTTCTTAACAACTTTCATGCTGGTTCCTACTGTGCCACAATGTCTTCTCTGTCAAAAAGACATTAAAGTATGTTTACTAATGAGATTTACACTCTTCCTAATCATGTGTTCTCTTAATTCTATGTTGAAAAACAGGAAAACTTCAGCCTTGCTCTCTGTAGCTTAAGTGCATTAGAAATATTCTACATTCATCATTTGTACTTACACATCATAAATGGGGTAATGCTCCTTGGAGACAATGAACATGATAGTAACATTAACATTAATGCATGTGATGGGATTTAAGATGCCAGTAAATATGATTTTTGATGTGGAGTTTGAAGGTTTCAGGCTTTGTACCCGGGAATGTTCTTCATGGCCAGACTTAACTGTAAAAGCACAGACCTTAAGTTTGGATCATTACTGATCATATTCTGTCTGCAGAACAACTGCAGGATATAGCATTTGGTTTTACTTGTTATGACTAAGCTTTATACATGCAAATTTCGTTTTCAAAATAAGGCTTACTGTCAGGACAACATGCAAACATGCCACTGGCTTGCTATAGATTTGATTATTTCTCTGCAACTGCTAAAGAGGGACTCAAGTCCTGCTTTCCAAGAGGAATGCAAGTGGAAGGAGGGATAATAAGCAAGTGATCTCACGTGCCCAAAGCTAAAAAGAGGATGTATAGAACTGAAGAATAGAGCTAAACTATGGATCAGGACTACTAAGCCAAAGGAGAGATGTGAGAGGAAATGAGGGAAGCTCAACTCTGCTAGTTGCTCCTGAGATCTACCCTCCCTGCATAACAGTCGAGGTGGTGGTGGTAGCACACACAGATGGAGTCAACTCTTGCCCACACAGTTGTTTCTCTTTGCACCTGGGGGAAAGGCAGGGAGCTGGGGAGAAGCAGTCTGCTGACCAGTGGGTTTGGGCTGTGACTGCAGAGGATCTGACTTGCAGTGCAGAGAAGGTAAAGCTTTATGTTTCACTTTGTTCAGTGTGAACAGTTTCTCCAGGAATTTGAAGATGGTGAGGTCTGTTTGATTTTAACCATTGTTATTTTCTAGTTAAGCCAGTGCTGCAGATGGTTGATGGGGCAAAGCACAATTAAATCTTAGAGAAGCTGTATTAAATACGTGCTTTGGAGCTTTATGGAAGAATTTACCTGAATCTGTTGCTGAAGAAGGCCTATTCTTGTCATGTGATGAAGCCTCATTTAGCATGAAGTTGTGAAATAGTTGTGGGTCAGGATCATACACCCCTAAAAATCCTTTTCCTGAAGTGGTATAAAAAGCATTGGTCACTTCCTGTTTTCAGTGTGCTGGGCAGTGCTTTTCCTGCTAGTTTATAGAGCATCTGCTCACCAAAGACCCCAAGTAACACTTAAAAATCTAAACCCAAATGGTATGCTTTTTAGTTCTTTCCTATTATTTTTGAGCAGTGCTTTGATTGGGCCTCACTCCAAGCCTTTAGGTTTTGTTTGGTGTTGCAAGACTTGTTCCTTAAATAGCATCTGGTTTACCTTGGCTGAAGTCAATGAAACTGAGCGAATTCTTACATCTTATTGTCATTACTAAACTTTCACATGGTTGTGCAAATAGTGCTTTTGGATTATGGCTTTGTTCAGGAGAATAGTATGTTTAGCTATTTCTAATTCTACTTGGTAAACACCCATTGATATCTGAAGCCCAAGGAAAAATCTTTATGGACAAAGAACCCGAGAAAGGAGTTCAGGCAAATCTATTTGTCATTATTTTGGGAATGGGAGAAAATTAGTGAATATCTGTCCTTTCCTGTACTATTCAAAATACACAGATTTCAGAGGACTGTTCTGGGATTGAGAAGGATGATTTTTGCATGGAGTAATTAGTTTGTATTGCTGCATGCTATCAGGTTATATGCATCAAGATTTCTTATTGTTTGTGTTACAAATATCATGGAAAGGCTTGTGTATATAAAAGCAATTTAATATACAGATAATACTATAGCTGTTTTTATTCTTTCCCTTACCACTCATTTTCACGATGAATGTTGGATGGGTATATTTGCTTTGTTCTGAAGTGCAGATGTCTTTTAAAGAGAAATGTGGTCTCAGTAGAACTCTTCTTAATTCTTTTAAGGAAACAGCAGTCTAATAGAAAAAGAGTTCAAAGATTTCTTTTTTTGCATTAATTTTGCACACAGTTGCAATGTAAGATCACATACAGAAATATGCTGTGCATAGAATAGTGTCTAGGGGTGTTGTTTATTGCTTTCTGTAATTTCCCAAGAAAAAAGGAATGAGCATGTTCTTTGGTTAAGGGATTACTAGAAGTCTAGAAAGCCTGGCAAAATAGGTAGATTGTGAAAATGACTGCAGCTTTTACCTTGCTCCCATTTCTGTAAGTGACAAAAAGCTGAGCTTTCTTGTCTATACACGTGACCTGCAGAATATCTCTTTGTTGTCTTCTGCACTGAGAATTACACACACTCTCCAGACTGTCAGTTTGACAAATGCAGAGGCCAAGAACCTTGTCATATCCTTGGTAATCTCTGGGGACAGTGCAAACCTGCAGAAGGAAAAAAAGGGATAAAATAGCAGTACAAATAATGTCCAGGTGTTGCTTAAGTGAGGAAGGGAATCTGGGTTTCCTATTTCGGGTTGAAGAAGAGGCAAAGCCTCGTGTGAGAATGCCAATAACACTTGGTTGCCATGCTCTCTGTGCCTTCTAAAGGAAGAGTTTGAGCCTTTAGGGTAGTTTCTGTGTGGTCTTTGGATTTAAGTAATGTAAAAACTGAAATACCTTCTCTGCGCAATAGTGAACCCATCCTTCCTTGGTTAAACACTGTCCTTCCTGATTTCGTGAAGCTGAATCTCGACAAATATCATAAGCTTGTCTGACACAGTGTCTTCCATCATTTAAGGACCTCCAATAACCTGGAGGGCATGTGCAGTGAGCATCACTGGGCTGGAAGAAAAATCAGGCATTTGCTTAGGAACCTGCAGTCTCATGCAGATACTATTCTGTACCTTGCTGCATTATTTGCAGCACTGCACATTATCTGACCAGGGTCAGATGAAACTTTGATGTCCATACACATACACTCTGTCTTCCAGCAAGCGGGGAGGTTTGATGTAGCCCTGAAGAAACTCAGAGCATATGGGGACCTGGTGTCCCCCTCCCCCTCCCTACGTAATTGCAAATTAGGTGTAGGATTAAGAATTGTCAATACCAAAGAGAGAGAAACTGAAGAAAGAAGTGCAGGTGAGCTAAAGAAAATGAAGAACAAAGTGTAAAGAAATACTGATATCTGTGAAGGCTGAAAACCTTTTGCAGGACTGCTCCGGTACCTGAAACACCTGGCCTTTCCCAAGACAGATGCATGTCTCTTGCCCTTCTGCAGGCTGCATTGCCTCTGAGCCACATGGAAGACATGCATTTTGGCCGGGCATGGGATTGAAGAAATCCACTGGGCATGCCAAGCAGCTGTGCGATAGCAGTGCTGCTCTTTCTGAACGAAACGTTCCGGGTGGACATGGAACTGGTGTGATACTTCCTTCGGGGCAGAAAAAGCCTTTGAACAACAACAGAAATGCTCATCAAATTTTCTTCTATAATGCAGCTGTATTATGTAGATGGATGAGTTTGCATCTTTCTAGTTTAAATATTGTAGCTTATTTATGTCATCATAAACCACTTAAATCAGTTAAATGCTTCAACAAAAACATTAGTCCATTTCATTATTGTTTTACTATGCAGCACAGAAAGGAAGTCTTCTGATGTGTAAATCTCATTATACTGCATGCTCTGTTCTTGTTATTTAAGCTTACTTACCTTTTATACTAGGAATTGCAGCAAGCCAAATTATTATCTAAGATCTCCTGCAGCATTCAACAAAATAAAAGTCTGACTGCATTTTTATTGAGCAGTATATGACTGAGAAGCATTCTAAAGAAGCTAATAATCTCTACTAAGTTATCTACAAATACCTGCTGGACAAATTGGCATATTCTGTTCTCTTCCGTTGCAATAAAGTCCACTTTGACAGTCATCATCATTTTGAAGTTGTAGTTTCCCATTGCCACAAGGCAAGCTTGAAAAAATAGAGAAAATGAAGAGGCAGAAGGCCATTTCTCTATCGCACCAACTAGCTTGATTTGCCAAATGCGGGTAAGTAACAAACATGCATAAGGAGAGTTTTCCTTTCAGCCACTGAATATTTAATGGTAAGTGAAAGTTAAAACATGCTAATGCAGTGCTGTAAAATATTCATGGAAGTTATTTGAGCCTGTTGTACTCCCCTACAGGTCATATAACAGAAGCTGTACTCTGTCCAATCTAAAGAATTTACATATGAAATATGACTGTTGCAGCACAGATAAGGGTTTATTTATGGCTATAGAAAATTTGCTACTGTACTTTGTAATATCAAGTTTCCAGGGTCCCTACAGCAGCCGTGATCTTTCAAAGTCTGTGAATCTGTGTTTACCAGAAAGGACCATCAGCTAGTATGGCGTGAGCGGGGTTTTATTTTTGGGATAGGCTGCATAGTTTATGATGAGCATAAACAAAAAAACCTGTTAAGCAACTGGTGTCTTTTGGCTGTTTACAACAGAAAATGTGGTTACGCATGGCTCTGTTTCTCAAGAGCTGTGGCAGCTCCTAGAATGCAGTTCAGGGACCTGCTTTTGAGTGCGCTCCGCTTTTTTCCATTCCTCGTGGGGGTTTTAAACGGTGGGAAAACCCGCAAGCACTGGTGACCCTGCTGACAGGAGCGCAGGGCTCCCTTGTTCCACAGCAGGGGGCAGTCGGGCTCCTCCTGCCGCCTGCAGCCAGCAGCCCGCGGTGCGGTGAGCAGCCGGCGAGGGGAGGTAATGCAACATCTTGGATTAATGGACATTGCAAGCACTTCTGAAACCTTCTCCCCCTTAATAAAAGGTGGCTCCCCATGTGTCATGAACGCTGTGTCATATACCTAGCAGAGGCTTCTGTCGTGAAGAGTGTAATAAAATATTCAAGAGCATTTCTGGATGATGCTTCCTGCTGCTCTCCTCGGTTTGTGCCTTCTGTGGCAATAGTAAATGCACAGACATTTCTTAAAGATCATTCACACAACTACTAATTCAAAGAGCTGTATTTGGGCTGGACTTTCTAGGGATACAATAAATGAGTGATTTCCAGATATATTTTGGATTTCAGTCACTGTTCAGCCTGAGAAATATAGGTGAAGAGAGGGTCATTCAGAGAGAGGAGATGTTTATTTCTGGTTTTGCAAAATAGTTGGGACTGTGTCTGAATTGCCAGCGTGTGTGTTGCCAAAAACTATTGCTGTCCCTCTGGCAAATACCTGATTTTACAATGAAGGGTTACTAGGTATGCAGTTCTGTTTTATATGGGTAGTAATGGCTGGAGTCCCCAGCCAAAGGTTGTGCTTTACAGGGGAATGTACAATACAACATTGACTAAAACGGTTGGGTTCTTAAAGCATGATTTATTTAGATATGAATTGCCTGCACTTTAAATTACAGTCCAAAACATTCCCATTCAGTGTCTGCCTAATGCTGGAAGTGCCTAAACTTCCCTCCTTGTTTGAGTTTGCATTCCCCAGGCATAGAGATCTCTGTCTCTGAGCATGCCTGGAATTGCCTCCATTGGAGAAATCCTGTGCATAGGTCTGCCTAAAACAGATTGGAATGCAGGAACTAGCTGTGATTCTGCCTATTCTCCTGTCCCTGCAGGGCTTTGCTTTGGTGCCTAGTCTCAGAGCACACCTAGTAAATTCTGGTAATTGCCAAATTAAGGGCAGCCATTTCTTCTTCTTCTTTGTAGTCTGTCTGCCTCTCTCTTTAAATCACAGATAAAGCCAGAGCCATCTGCCAGCCAGCATCCATGGGGCTGGAACACTCACACAGAAATCAGAAATGTACCTTCAATTCCTTTCTTTCACAGAGAGGTTTCAATCCACATCTCTTACCTCATAAGCTAGTGT